CAAACAAGAAACATGAGAGTCTATGACTTTTTTTTAAGATTTATTTATTTATTTGAAAGCCAGAGTTACATAGAGAGAAGAGGCAGAGAGAGAGAGAGAGTTCTTCCATCCTCTGGTTCACTCCCCAGTTGGCCACAATGGCTGGAGATGGGTCGATCTGGAGCCAGGAGCCAGGAGCTTCTTCTGGATCTCCCACACGGGTGCAGGGGCCCAAGCACCTGGGTCATCTTCTACTGGTTTCCATAGGCCTTTCCATAGGCCCTACTGCTTTCCAGGCCATAGCAGTGAGCTGGGTCAGAAGCGGAACAGCCAGGACTTGAACTGGCACCCATATGGGATGCTGGCACTGCAGGCGGCAGCTTTGCCTGCTGCGCCACAGCACCGGCCCCATCTATGAATTTCTAGAACAAGGTTTCTCTACAGAGCTAGGACTAGAGTGAGGAGAGTGAGGCACTGGTCACAAGTGCAAAATTTAAAGTGCACAAAAAAAATTCAGAGAGCAAGATCAATACTATTTCGTTTATTTATTTTCATTTTTTTTTTGACAGGCAGAGTGATAGTGAGAGAAAGAGAGACAGAGAGAAAGGTCTTCCTTTTGCCGTTGGTTCACCCTCCAATGGCCGCCACGGCTGGCGCGCTGCGGCCAGCGCACCACGCTGATCTGAAGCCAGGAGCCAGGTGCTTCTCCTGGTCTCCCATGGGGTGCAGGGCCCAAGCACTTGGGCCATCCTCTACTGCCTTCCCGGCCCACAGCAGAGAGCTGGCCTGGAAGAGGGGCAACCGGGATGGAATCTGGCGCCCCGACCGGATCTAGAACCCGGTGTGCCAGCACCGCAAGGCGGAGGATTAGCCTGTTGAGCCGTGGTGCCGGCCTTTCATTTTGTTTTAAAGGCAGAAAAATAGAGAGAGGAAGCTGGAGAAACAGAAAGTTATCTTCCATCTGTTGACTCACTCCCCAGATGCCTATAACAGCCAGGCTTGGGCCAGGCTGAAGCCAGGTGTCTGGAACTCAATTCGGATCTCCCATGTGGGTGGCAGGGACCCAAGTACTTGAGTCATCCTCTGCTGCTTCCCAGGGTGCATATTAACAGGAGGCTGGATCAGAAGCACAGGAGCTGGAATTGGAACCAGGCTCTTTGATATGGGGTGCAGGTGTCCCAAGCAGTGTCTTAACTGCTATACCAAACACCGATGTTATGAGAAATGATATTTTAAAGCACCATTTTCAAAAGACAAAATTAATGAAAAAAAAAATTCGTGACAAACAAAGCACCAAAACTTTAAATAAATAGCTGAGTTGGCTGTATGTTGCTGCATAACAAATTATCCCCAAACACAGAAGTATAAAGCAACAAACACCGAAGATCACAGTTTCTGTGGTGTCAAGAAACTGCAAGTGGATTGACTAGGTAGTTTTGTCTCAGGGTCTCTGATAACATGATCAAATTGTTGATTGGGGCTGAGTCAGCTGAGGCTGGATATTGCGTTTCCAGATGGTTTATTCTAAATACTAGAGGCCTCAGTTTCTCACTGGCTGTTGCCAGGAATGCTTGGTGCATGGGCCTGTCCCAGGGCTGCCTGAATGTCATTCTGACATAGCAGCTGGCTTCCCCCAGAATGCATGATGAGAAGGAGAGAGATAGAGAGAGGCACATCACATACTTTTACTATCTGATTTCTCAAGTGACATACTGTCACTTCCGACCTTGAACACGGGGCCCCTATTAACTATTCCATGTCTATATCCGAAGAAAATATTAAAGCGCCATCACTGGTTCCCTTGTTTTGATCTAAAAACCTTTGTTCATGATTTTGCCAGAAGTCACTTTCTTATTTTCAGGTAGCAACCAGACCTGTTAGCAGTCTCAAAGCACAAAGGAACCTTCAATGTCTCTGTGGTCCAGTTCTTGAGCTTGGGTCTCTGCTACTCAGCAAACATTATTGCTCCTCTGGTTTGAACTTGAACCCAGTTATCCGCCAGAAGAGTTCTATTTGGATAGCTAATCAAAACGACTTTCATGGTAAAAAAGTTAACCATGGACCCATAATTGGGATCTAGACCAGAGAGACATTGATAATGGAGAATGAAGAGATGTTCTGTTTCTCAGTATACAAAAGGGCATATATAGACCTTGGATTCAAGGTCAAATGCAAGGAATAATTTTTAAAAGAACATGAATGCAGATCAGAAGAGTAAACGTAGGTATTGGTAGAGTTAAAAAAGGCCTATGTTTAAGATCAGCCCAGAGACATGAAGGAATTAAAGAAAAATATGCCAAATTCATATATTGATTATTCCAAGTTGAAACCACTTGAGAAACTTTAACTTTGGAAAGGGCTATTTTCCTACAGAGAGGAAGCCATAAAGATTCTTTTGGGATGGATGTCTTTCCCATACCAAGGCCAGAAAATAAACTTGACCACGAGAGACTGGTAATTGGGGCTGCAATGAATGAACCTGAATAAACAAACCCTCTGAAGTAACTCTGGGCCTCCACTAGCTTCTACATCCCCTCTTCTAATATATCTTTTTTTTTTTTTAGTGACACCTGTAGAATTTACTATCCTAGACCAGATGTCCAATTGCCCTGTGATTCTGTCACAAATGTATTGTTCTTTGAAAATTCTGAGAGGGGAGGAGGAGCATTTGACCGAGTGGTTAGGATACACGCCTCTCACATTGGCTGGTGGGTTCAGCTCCCGGTTCCTGATTCCACTTTCCTCTTTTTTTTTTTAAGATTTGTTTTATTTATTTCAAACACAGAGAGAGAGAGAGAGAGAGAGAGAGAGAGAGAGGGAGAGAGGTGTCTTCCATCCACTGATTCACTCCCCAGATGGCCGCAATGGCCGGAACTGTGCCAATCCGAAGTCAGGAGCCAGGAGCTTCTTCTGGGTCTCCCACATGGGTGCAGGGGCCCATCGACTTGGGCCATCTTCTACTGCTTTCCCAGGCCATAGCACAGAGCTGGATCGGAAGTGGGGCAGCCAGGACTCGAACTGGTCTCCATATGGGATGCTGGCGCTGCAGGCCAGGGCTTTAACCCACTGTGCCATAGCGCCGGCCCCCTAGTTTCCTCTTAATGCTGACTCTAGGAGATAGTAGTGACAGTTCAAGCACTTGGGTTCCTGCCACCCGTGGGGCAGACCTGGTTTGGGTTCTTGGCTCCTAGCTTCATCCTGGCCCACCCCTGATTGTTGTGGGCGTTTTGGAGAGTGAATCAATGAATGGGAGCTCTCTTTCTCTCTGTCTCTCAAATATACATGAAAAAGCATCGTACTTTGGTCATTTCTTTGGACTTCATTCTTTGTGTTGATTCCTATATACATGCAAATGTAATAAAACTTTAATGCTTTTATTAATCAGCTCTAATATTAAGTGAGTTCTTAGATCTAGCCAAAGACCTTACACAAGAACTAAGGAGGGGGGCCCGACGATATTGTGTAGCGGATTAAGCTGCCGCCTGCAGTGCTGGCATCTCATGTCCCGGCTACTCCACATCTGATCTGGATTTCTGCTATAGCCTGGGAAAGCAGTGGAAGATGGCCCAAGACCTTGGGCCCCTGCACCTGCATGGGAGACCCAGAGGAGGCTCCTGGTTTTTGGCTTTGGATCAGCCCAGTTCCAGCCATTGCAGCCATTTGGGGAGTGAACCAGAGGGTGGAAAACCTCTGTCTCTCTCTGCCTCTGCCTCTCTGTAGCTCTGCCTTTCAAATAAATACATAAATCTTTAAAAGAAGAACTAAGGCAGGTGGAGGGTATCTCTCCTAAGACACCACAAACATCGAGGGTGGAAGAGTTAGCAGAGTCAAGGGTCTGAGATGTTGACCGGAAGTCACAAATTTTAGAAAATTTGTAGAAGTGTGGGTGTTACAGCAATACTGTCATAGATGTTCTTTTGTCTTCCATTCAACTCATAAATCCTGCAGGAGGCGAGGAATAAAGGCTGGTACTCTCTCTCTCCAGATTGTTGAGCTGAGGTCTAGAGAGGACTCAAATGTCCTTAGGTTACCCAGCAGCCCATACCCAGCCTAAGCCAGGGTGCACCTGCTGAATGTGAAACACCTTCAGCAGGGAAAAGAACCCTCCATCTTGTGCCAGAAAAATCTCCCTGGAAGTAAAATATTCGGACTAGATTTTGAAGAATGTGTAGGAATTCAGAGTGTTGCCAACAGGTAAAGTGCATCCATAATTCTGCTTTCCCAAGTCAGTAGCAGCTCCTGAATTTTCATTTAGGAGAGACTAAGAGGCTGCACTGGGGGTGGGTGTTTGGTGCAGCAGTTAAGATGTTCCTTGTGACGCACCACCATCCCCTATTAGAGAGTCCATTTTTCGGTTGGGCTTCTCCACTTCCAATCCAGCTTCCTGCTAATGTGCAACCTGGGATATAGCAGGCGATGGCTAAAATACTTGGGTCCCTGCCATCCACGTAGGAGATCCAGATTGAGTTTCCAGCTCTTGGCTTAGGCTTGGCCGAGCCTTGGCTGTTACTAGCATTTGGGGAGTGAACCAGTGGATGGGAGATCTCTCTGCCTGTCTCCCTCTCTTTGCCTTTTAAAGAAAAAGAAAAAGAAAAGGAAAAAAAAAAAGAGGTTGCAACCTGGTTGACAGCACGAGTTGGAAACCTGTCTTGGAGGTGCATTTCCATTACAAGTATGGTTATAACGTTTTCTAAGCATTTTTCTATTGATCATTTGCTGAAAAACATTACTGGTCCATATCAAAGGCTATTATTCCTATTATTCCTATCGTTATTTTAGTCGGGTTATAGGGGTAATGGAAATTAAGGGGGATTCAAGCTTTCTCCATAGTAATACTGGGGGAAGGTCGGGAGAGTCTGTCTCCCGGACTCCTCCCCCTCTTCTCTGGTGGTATTGCCCAAGAGGGACGCACCTGGATTAACCTGGCTTCTTCTCCTCGGAGTGGTGTCGCCAAGGAGCGGATTGTACCATTTTAGCTCCTCCCCCCCCTTGCCTCGTGGTGTCTGTTTTGGAAGACACACCCCCTTACCCTCAGGATCACAGGTCACCACTTTGTTTCCGTAAACTTTGCCCAGACCTCTAGAGTCAGATCCAAAGATCAGCTTCTGGCGAAAACTTGCCCTCAGTAAGGTTTCTGTCACTGCACACCCACCTCGTTAGCCTTCCGTGGAACAGCCCTCTGTACGGAATGAGTACCAAGATGGCGGCCTTCATGGAGAAACGTCCCGGCGCAGCCATGTTCATCTCCTGACAACGCCGCTCTTGACCAAAGTCTTTGCGGATCCGTAACAGCACCTTGTTCAGTGTGAGTAGACTGCAACCCCTCAGCCCTCACAATTGTGTGGAAAAGCTACACCCTAGAAGTGCAGTGTTAGGGGTGAGGACAGGAAACGTGGCCCTCAGAGACTGTTTAAGTCTTGTTGGCGCGCAGCGCTAAAGCGAGGGTCTATGGCCTGACAGTCGCTCAGGCGATTTTCAGGTGATGGCTTTGTTGGCTTTGGGGTTGGTAAATTGGCAGGTTGTGGTGCCAGTTGGTGGGGAATTAAAGGATTTAGTGAATGGGAGTCAGGAACTGGGGCCGCTGGGGTAGTCAGGTTTTAGATTCCTCGCAGCTCTAGAGTGTGTGATCAGATGTTTCCTTCATCAGTTTCCCCAGAGGCTTATTAATTTCATTCGTCTTTCCAAAGAAACAACTTTTCCCTTTGTCTATCACCTCTGTTGTACCTTTCTTTTGATTTCTTTATTTTTCACTCTTATCCGTATTCTTTTCTTTTTCTAGCTTCCAAAACTGGATGTTAAGTCATTAATATTCAGCGTTCCTTTGTTAAAAATACATTTAAGAACATACGTTTCCCTTTAAGAATCTCTTAGCTGCGTTCTACAGTACTTTGTATACACCATCTTATTAGTGTTCAGCTTTGTGTTTCATCTTTTTTTTCTTTTTAAAATTTTTAAATTTATTTTTTAAGGAATATGAATTTCAAAAGTACAACTTTAGGATTGTAGTTGTTCTTCCAACCATACCCGCCCTCCCACATACAATCCCACCCCTCCTCCTCCTCCCTCTCCTATGTTTAATCTTATTTATTCTTGAATCACTTTTATATAATGCTTTTGAGAAGGGTTGATATTTAATAAATCTTAACCAAGGATATGGTATGTCTCTCTGTGTAACTATTTTAAATCGTTTAAGTCTAGCTCCTTTAAAAATTGATTCTTATACATTTGATATATTTTTTGCTATCTGTAATATACATTTCTTCTTTTCCATTTGTTCATTGCTACTATAGAGAAAAAATTACTTTTTTTAAAAGATTTATTTATTTGAAAGTCAGAGTTACACAGAGAGAGAAAGAGAGGCTGAGACAGAGAGAGAGGTCTTCCATCCTCTGTTCACTCCCCAATCGGCCACAATGGCCAGAGCTGCACCAATCCAAAAGCAGGAGCCAGGAGCTTCTTCCAGGTCTCCAACGTGGGTGCAGGGGCCCAAGGACTTGGGCCATCTTCCACTGCTTTCCCAGGCCACAGCAGAGAGCCTGATCGGAAGTGGAGCGCCTATATGGGATGCTGGCACTGCAGGTGGCAGCTTTACCCGGTACGCCACAGCTCTGGCCCTCTACTTTTATAATTTTATCTTGTATCCAGCTCCTTATCAAATTACCCTGTAAGAGTGGGCATTAAGCCAACTTGTTGAGAGATGACCACATCCCCTATCTGAGTGCGTGGGTTTGATCCCCAGCTCTGGCTACCAACTCCAGCTTCCTGCTCATGCAGCTCCTGGGAGGCAGCAGTGATGGCTCAAGTGATTGGATTCCGGCCACCCATGTGGGAGACCTGGACTGAATGCCCAGATGCTGGCTTTGGCTACTCCCAGCCCTGTGGTTGTGGGCATTTGGAGAGTAAACTGGCCGGTGAGAACCCTTTATCTCTGTTTATCTTCCTTTCTGTCTGCCTCTCAAATAAATAAAATTTTAAGATTACTCTATGAATGCTAGTAGTTTTTAACCAGAATCTGGTAGAATTTCTAGATACAAATTCATATCTTGGCAATTAAAGTTGCATTTTCATTTCTTTCCAATAGTTACAGTGATTATTTCATCTCCTGCTGTGTGAGCCACAGCCCAATTTCAAGTTCTAGTGGACTCCCCCATCTTTTTACTAATTTTAATGTTAACAGCTTCATCATTTTACTTTTTTAGCATAGTATTTCATGGCTATGTTTCCTAAATATTTTTGTGATATTTATCTACTTCTTCCCTAATCTAATGGCTGCTGACCTATGTTAGATGCTTTTTTTGGGGTGTAATGACAGTATGTCCCCCATTTATTGATATAATAAATAATATTATTAATGTAGAACCATCTTCTTCTGGAAAGAAGCAAAAAGCTTCTCTGTAAGAAGAATTTAAGTGGGATTTTTCACTTTAAAATGGGACAGTAACGGAAGATGGCAGAAGAGACAACCCATTTCTTTTCATTCATATTTACCAGGTTTCCTGCCTGCACAGTCGCCCAGCAGACCTTTAGGGACAGTTCCACCCCTGCCTGTCCCCAGGGGCTTCAGCACCATTCACTGCCCCAGTTCCACCCTCCCCTGGGACTCATCTGCCTTGAATCTGGAATTGATGGCTTGCTTGCCTTGGTAGGGTAATTCACTGTGGAGCCACCCAGGAATAAGGGACCTCAAGTTCATTAATTTGACTCCAAATATTATGATCATTTCCATAATCCACCCTGACTGATACTCAGAGTGGGGCATGGCACTTTGTGGGGTGAATGTGGAACGACAATGATGACATGGATACTGTCCTTTTAGGATTTCTTGGTCTCTCTGTGGAGCCATTGAGTCTTTCCCTGTACTGGAGGCTGCAGGATCTTCTGCATGTAGTCACCTTTCTAGCTTTGGAGAGTAGGCTGAGGCCTAGGGTGAACATGCCAGCTAATGGGAAATCACCCCAGAGGTTCCCAGCCGTGATTCCAGGAGAACCTGGCAGATCAACTGAGGTAAGGAGGAGGTGTGTACTTGTTTCTATTTGTTTTCTCTTTTTTCTTTTTTAGCTTTCATTTTGAGATACTTGTAGATCCAAAGGCAATGGACCATTTGCCCAGTTTCCCCACAATGGCACATCTTGTAAAACATGGGTACCAGATCATCACCAAGACATTGGCCTAAAGAGTATTTTCCTCACTACGAGTTGCCATTTAATAATAAAAACCACTTCGCTCCATCCCCACTCCAAGCATTAATCTGTTTTCTTATTCTATAATTTTGTCATTTCAAGAATGTTAGATAAATGGAATCATACAGTAAATGTAACCCTTTGGGGGCGGCTTTTTTCATTCAACATAATTCTCTGGATCCATCCAGTTTGTTACATTTATCAATAAATCCTTCCTTCTTGTTACTCAGTCGTATTCCATGGTATGGATATGCCACAATATATTTAAACATGCACTGTTTGGAAAAAAAAACCTCCTTTGTTTCTAGTTTTTGGCTATTATGAACCTATGATTGTGTAAAGTTTGTAATTGTTGTTGTTGTTTGTTTTTAATTCTAGAGGCAGAGAGAAAACAGAGGGAGAGAGAGAGAGAGCAAGAGCGAGCAAGCAAGAGAGAGAGAGCACGCGAGTGTGCTCCTATCTGCTTGTTCACTCTCTAAACACCTGCAACAGCTGGGGCTGGGCCAGGGCTTGAGCTAGGAGATGGAAACGCAATCCAGTTCTCCCACATGGGTGGCAGGAACCCAGTTCTTTGAGCCATTACTGCTGCCTCCCAGGGTCTTCACTGACAAGAAGTTGGACTCAGGACTAGCACTGGGAATTGAACCCAGATCCTCCATGTGGGATGCAAGCATCTTAACTGCTAAGTCAAATGCCCATTCTTGTGTCAGGTTTTTATACGAAATCAATGCTCATGAGCGCAGGTGCTGGATTGTATGCTAAGGTGCATTTAGAATAAACTCAGTAGATTTAGTTCTCTTTACTACGGTTGTAGATTTACAGAAAAATTGAGAAGGTGGTACACATAGTTCCATGTACCCTTCTCCCCTTCCACCTCTGGCAGTTTCCCTATTGTTCACAAGTTGCCCTAATGTGTACATTACAATTAAGTGAACCCATCGTGATAGGGCCTTACTAATGACAGCCTACAGTTTACAGTAAGTTCACTCTTTCCTGTTGTTCATTCTCTGGGTTTTGACAAGTGCATAATGCCGTGTGAACACGATTACAGTTTCATAAAGAACAGTTTTGCCTGTGCTCCAGCCATTCACTTTTCCCTGCTCTCCACCAGAACCTCTTGTAACCACTCTTTTAAACTGTTTTTATAAAGTTATTTTTTTATTTATTTACTTGAAAGTCAGAGTTACACACAGAGAGAAGGAGAGGCAGAGAGAGATAGAGAGAGAGAGAATTTTCCATCCTCTGGTTTACTCTCCCAGATGGCTGCAATGGCTGGAGCTGCGCCAATCTGAAGCCAGGAGCCAGGAGCTTCTTCCAGGTCTCCCACTCAGGTGCAGGGGTCCAAGGACCTGGGCCATCTTCTACTGCTTTCCCAGGCCATAGCAGAGAGCTGGATTGGAAGTAGAGCAGCCGGGTCTTGAACCAGTGCCCATATGGGATGCCGGCACTGCAGGCAGTGGCTTTACCTGCTATGCCACAGAGCAAGCCTCTTTTTAACTGTTTTTATTGTTTTGCCTTTTCTAAAATATAGTATACTTGGAATAATACAGCATGTAACCTTTTCAGGCTGGCTGTTTTTTGCTTATCAATTTGCATTAAAGATCCCTCCAGATCTCTTTGTGGTTTGATAGTTCATTCTTTCATCACTGAATAATACTCCATGGTATGCATGTACCAGTATGCTTCTCCATTCACCCACAGAAGGCCATCTTGATTGTTTCTGGGCTTTGATGATTATGAATAAAGTTGCTGTGAACATTCCCATGCAGGTTTTTGTGTGGACATAAATTTCCAACTCAATTTGGCAAATAACTAGGAATGCAATTGCTAAGTCATATGAGGACTATTTTAGCTTTGTAAGCAACTGCCAAAAACTGTCTTCCATTTTTTTTTTTAACCATTTTGAATTCCCATGGGCAATGAATGAGAACTCCTTTTGCTCCACATCCTCACCAGCATCCAGTATTGTCAGTCTTTTGGATTTTTACTATTCTTTTTTTTTTTTAAAGATTTATTTATTTTATTTGAGAGTCAGAGTTACACAGAGAGGAGAGGCAGAGAGAGAGAGAGGTTTTTCATCCGATGGTTCACTCCCCAATTGGCTGCAATGGCCAGAGCTGCACCGATCCGAAGCCAGGAGCCAGGAGCTTCCTCCAGGTCTCCCACGTGGGGGAAGGGCCCAAGGACTTGGGCCATCTTCCACTGCTTTGCCAGATGCAGTCGCAGGGAGCTGGATTGGAAGTGAAGCAACTGGGTGTCAAACTGATGCCCATATGGGATGCTGGTGTCTCAGGTGGCTGCCTAATCTGCTATGCCACGATACTGGCCCCACTGTTGAGTTTTAAGAGTTCTTTGTGGGGCCAGCACCATGGCTCACTTGGTTAATCCTCCGCCTGCGGTGCCGGCATCCCATATGGGCGCCGGCTTCTAGTCCCAGTTGCTCCTCTTCCAGTTCAGTTCTCTGCTTGGCCCGGGAGTGCAGTGGAGGATGGCCCAAGTCCTTGGGCCCCTGCACCCGCATGGGAGACCAGGAAGAAGCACCTGGCTCCTGACTTCAGATCGGTGCAGTACCGGCTGTAGCGGCCATTTGGGGAGTGAAACAACGGAAGGAAGACCTTTCTCTCCGTCTCTCTCTTTCTCTCTCTCACTGTCTATAACTCTACCTGTCAAATAAATTAAAAAAAGTTCTTTGTATATTTTTGATTCAAGTCCTTTATCAGATAAGCGTTATGCAACTATTTTCTTTCAATATTTGCCTTATCTCTTCATTCTCTTAACAGTATCTGTCACAGAACACAAATTTTTAATTTTAGTTAAGTCTAACATCAATTTTTTCTCTCATGGATAATACTTTTGGTACTATATTTTAAAACTCAGTGCCAAACTTAGATTTTCTTCTTTGATATCTTCTAGATGTTTTATAGTTATATATATGTATATATTTAAAGATTTACTTATTTATTTGATAGATAGAGTTACACAGAGGCAGAGGCAGAGAGAGAGAGAGATCTTCCATGCACTGGTTCATTCCCCAATTGGCCACAATGGTAGGAACTGCGCTAATCCAAAAGCAGGAGCCAGGAGCTTCTTCCAGTTCCTCCCACACGGGTGCTGGGGCCCAAGAACTTGGGCCTTCTTCTACTGCTTTCCCAGGCCATAGCAGAGAGCTGCAACGGAAGTGAAACAGCTGGGACTCGAACTGGCGCCCATATGGGATGCTAGCACTGCAGGAGGTGCCTTTACCCGCTATGCCACCGTGTCAGCCCCTTATATTTTTTTTTGTATGTGGCTGTACAATCCATTTGAGTTAATTTCTGTGAAACATATACTGACTAGTAGATTCATTTTTTTTTTTTGCATATGGATGCCCAGTTTTCCGAGCACCATTCGTTGCGAGGGCTCTTGTTTCTTCGCTGAATTGCTTCAGTTGACTATGTTTGTATGGACCTATTCCTTAGGCTCTCTTCTCTGTTGCACTGGTCTATTTTTCTATTCTTTTAATACACCATGCTGTCTTAAGGTTGGGTAGTGTCAGCACTCTGAACCATGGAAACATGGTTTGGGAAGAAAATAAATGAAAAAGTAGGAATGATGTCAAAGAGGAATTGAGCAAGCCCTTGTTAAAAACAGCCAGGGGCCAGCGCCGCAACTCACTAGACTAATCCTCCACCTAGCAGTGCCGGCACCCCGGGTTCTAGTCCCAGTCAGGGCGTCGGATTCTGTCCCGGTTGCCCCCCTTCCAGGCCAGCTCTCTGCTGTGGCCAGGGAGTGCAGTGGAGGATGGCCCAAGTGCTTGGGCCCTGTACCCCATGGGAGACCAGGAGAAGCACCTGGCTCCTGCCTTCGGATCGGCTGCATCGCGCTGGCCACAGCGGCCATTGGAGGGTGAACCAACGGCAAAAGGATGACCTTTCTCTCTGTCTCTCTCTCTCACTGTCCACTCTGCCTGTCAAAACAAAACAAAACAAACAAACAAACAAAAAACAGGAAGACTTTATTCAAGACTTTTGGAGTAGGGAAGAGACGTTGAACTCCACTCCATGCACAACAAGGACAAGGGGCAGGGTGAATGGGTGGATGGAGAAATCCTTAGGGGACCTTGGTTGGTTGTCAAGGAAGGGGGAAAAGGAATTTGGTTAAATTATCAAGGGTAGGAGAAGAGAAACTTCATTGGGTGGGAAATCCTCTCTAAACTGGTTTAGTGGGATTTTTGCTAAAACTGGATTTGTCAGGCCAAAGATGAGGCCTACTGCAGAATTTGGTTAAAGAGGCCATGTGGTCGTTTATGGTATGGTATGGCACAGCAGCTGTGCTGGAATCTGTTACTAAAGGTGAAAGTTACCTGTGGAATTCAGAGGTGGATCCACCCTCTGGGGAGTTGGTTTGCTGGATGCATAAGGAAATGCAAACTAGTAAGAAAAATGCAGGAGACACCATCTCTTGGTTATTGCTATCTGTAATAGCTAAAATAAAAAAGTGAAAGAGGGCTCTGGGTTGGATCTTATTGCTGGACTAAGCTTACATTTTGGCGAGCTGAAGCCTTAACTACCAGCCTCACTTTCTTTTTTTTCCTCAAAGTAAGCTCTCTCTCTCTCTCTCTTTTTTTTTAAAGATTTATTTGTTTAGAGAAGGAGAGGCAGAGAGAGAGAGAGAGAGAGGTCTTCCATCCGCTGGTTCATTCCCCAAATGGCCACAATGGCCAGAGCTGCACTGATCCGAAGCCAGGAGCCAGGAGCCTCTTCTGGGTCTCCTAGGCAGGTGCAGGGGCCCAAGGACTTGGGCTATCTTCCACTGCTTTCCCAGGCCATAGCAGAGAGCTGGATTGGAAATGGAGCACCCGGGATTCGAACCGGCGCCCATATGGGATGCTGGTATTGCAGGCGGCGGCTTTACCTGCTACACCACATCACCAGCCCCTCATAGTCACTTCTAAATGGAAAGATCATGTTGGGACAACAGACGGTACCTCTAAGAACTCTAGCCACCAAGAAAGTAGCTCACCTTGGGGGGAGGCAAAGTGGAGACTTCAAGGAAAACGGGCCATAAAGTGAAGGAGCTGTCTCACTTTGTAGCTTGGAATGGCCAGCTTTCTGAAGAAGTTTTACTAAAGTAGATTGTGAGAGTAACTACTTTAGGGGCAGTACCTTTGGTTTGGAATGCTACAGAGTGCAAGACCATATTTAGCTTGCAACAGGACCCACAGCTCACTGCTGAGCAATCACAGATGGCTATATGTGATCCAGGCATGCAAGAAGTTATTCATGAGGGAGAAGCCAGCCTGGTGGATTCAATTACAGCCACTTTGTAAGGTCTGTTTATCATGAGTAGGGGGACTGTCCAACTCTCCCTACAAATGCCAAATGGAGGTGCTGGTACTGTGGCACAGTAGGTTAAGCCTTTGCCTGCAGTGCTGGTATCCCATGTGGGCACCAGTTTGAGTCCTGGCTCCTCTTCTTCCAATCCAACTCTGCTGTGGCCTGGGAAGGCAGTGGAAGGTGGCCCAAGTGCTTGGGCCACTGCACTCACATGGGAGACCTAGGAGAAGCTCCTGGCTCCTGACTTTTGATCCTCCCAGCTCCGGCTATTGCGGCCATCTGGGGAGTGAACCAGTAGATGGAAGACTTTTCTTTCTGTCTCTCCCTCTTTCTGTCTGTAGCTCTGCCTCTCAAATAAATGAATGGATCTTTAAAAAAAATGCCCAAGTGGAGCACACAACATGAAACAGCTGATATTCTTTGCTTGCAAGCCCTTTAGGATTGGTTTTATGATAATTGTGTTATTTTCTAAATGTACCCATCACCCAGCTCATGGTAAATGCTATGGTTAAGATGGGCCCTTTTGCGTGGCTACCCCCTGTAACCTTATGGCTATAAAATATAGCAACTGTCCTTTTTGAATTTGCTGTATCAGCTTCCCCTCATTGGTCCTAATATGCCAATAAAAACATTAAGTTAATTAACAAGAAAATGAGAAAAAGCAGAGAGGAGAGTCAAGTCTATCAGCAAAATAAAAATCTTTAATTGGTTATTAATAAATGAGATGGGGGTGAGTGTCTTGGTTCAGCAGGTCAAGCTGCTGCCTGCAATGCTAGCATCCCATATGAGTGCTTATCTGAATTCTGTCTGCTCCACTTCCAATCCAGCTCTTTGCTAATGGAAGTGGAATATAGCCCACGTGCTTTGACCTCTGCCACCAATGTGGGAGATCCAGATGGAGTTCTAATCTCTTGGCTTTGGCCTGGCCCAGCTGTGGCCACTGCAGCCATTTGAAGAGTGAACCAGCTGATGGAAGGTCCCTTTCACTCTCTGTCTCTCCCTTTCTCTGTTACTCTGTCTTTCAAATACCTAAATAAATCCTTAATAAATGAATGAATAAATAAAGTGAGGGAAGTCATTTAGCCTAGTGGTTAGGATGTTGGTTAAGATCCCTTGTTCCATATCAGAGTACCTCCTGACTCCAGCTTCCTGCCACTGCAGACTCTGGGGGGCAGTGGTGATGGGTCAAGTAATTAGGTTCCTGCCACTCAATGGGAGACCTGGACTAAGTTCCCAGCTTCTAACTTCAACCCTGTCTTTCCCAACTCTGCCATTGCGGGCAGTTGGGAAGTGAACCAGCAGATGAGAACATTCTCTCTTATTTCTCAAATAAAAAGAAAAAAAAAAAGAAAAGGGATGAATAAAATGGAGGTTGACGGGGTAAATAGCACTATGGAACGGAGTCCAAAGGGACTCCCTGCTGGTCCCCAGATGTTAAAGTGCCCCAAACAACTCTGCTCTATTTATCACAGTTTGGAGAAAATTAAAAAGCTGGAAGAGGGGCAGGCATTTGGCCTAGTGGTTAAGGTGCCTGCATCCCATATCAAAGGGCCTGGGTACAATTCCCAGCCCTAGATCCGATTCCAGCTTCCTTCTAATGCAGACTCTTTCCTGTCAATCATGTGGGAGACCTGGACCGGGTTCCTGGCTCCCAGCTTCAGCCCTGGTCCAATCTCTGCTATTGTGGAAATTTGGGATGGAACTCTGTGTTTCTCTCTCTCTCTGAAATAAAAAAAAAAAGGTGGAAGGAAAATATTGTAATGAGAACCTCACCATCAACTACCTGGGGTATTAGGCAGATTAATCAAGATTAAAAACCAACCCGAGGGTAAGGCTTCCTTACCTACTCCTCAATGGGGACTCAAATCATATGTACTTAAGTGGGTGAAATGGGTGGAGAAGGAAGTGTCTTATACTTCTTGACTTGTGGGCCTCTTGTACTGAGGTAGCAAAATCCCCTGGGGAAGTCCTAACATGGGCTACAATTAGATTGGAAGAATGTAGGAATATAAAGGTTGTTAAAATTAAAGTGTACATTTGGATAAAAATTGGAATGTTTAGACTTTACCTGAATGTGTTGTAAATATTTTCTTTCATTTTATTTGAAAGGGAGAGAGAGAGTATTTCCATTTGTGGGTTTATTCTCCAAATGCCCTCAACAGCCAGGGCTGGGCCAGGCTGAAGCCAAGAGTCTGGTACTCAAACTGGGTTTCCCATGGGTGTCAGGGACCCAAGTACTTGACCTATTATCAGGTTTGTTGCAGGCACATTAGCAGGAAGTTGGATTGGAAGTGGAGTAGCCAGGACTCGAACCAGACATGCTGCTATGGGATGTGAGTGTCCCAAGTAGTGACTTAATCTCTGTACCAAATGCCCACCCCTACCTGAATGTTTTTTTTTTTATTTGACAGAGTTAGACAGTGAGAGCAAGAGACAGAGAGAAAAGTCTTCCTTCTGTGGGTTCACCCCCCAAATGGCCGCCACTGCCGGAGCTACGCCGATCTGAAGCCAGGAGCCAGGTGCTTCCTCCTGGTCTCCCATGCTGGTGCTTGGGCCGTCCTCCACTGCCTTCCTGGGCCACAGCAGAGAGCTGGACTGGAAGAGGAGCAACCGGGACAGAATCCGGTGCCCCAACTGGGACTAGAACGTGGGGTGCCGGCGCTGCAGGTGGAGGATTAGCCAAGTGAGCCGTGGCACCGGCCTACCTGAATGTTTTATAGTGATGAATATTGTGGCTGATTGGGGAACACTTCCCCTGACCACTATTGTAAAACCAGATCCTTGATGAAATTTTAATGGAGCCTTTGCATAGGAATATAAGAGTTGATGGGATTAAAGTGAAAGTTTGGGGAATTTGTATGAGTAAGACTTATGTGAAGTGGTTGTATATCTTTTACCTGATTATATTAGAGATGGCCACTGTATCTAACTGTGGAATGTTTCTCTCCCTAGCTTTGTAACATTACCCTTCAGGCAATATTACTTGGACATGCTAGATGGAAACCAATGATAAGGCCATGTAGTACAGAAGAGGAATGCTGCTTTAGACTAATTCTCTGTGCTATGTAACCCTATGTGGAGCATAGAACAGGGGCTTATGGCAAAAGCAGGTGAGCGCCTCCCAGTGGTAACTATTGGGACTTTGGACTAAAGAATTTCTATTTGAGGGGCAATTACAGCTATTGGAAATGAATTGAAAATCCCTATCATTGAAGGACATAAAATAATTTTGAAACCTAAAATATCTATCATGTCTTGGGTGATGGAGAAATGTTCTAATGAGGAGGGCAGCACTCAGAAGAGTTCTCTAATAAAATGGAAATGATTTACACAATATGCCACCAGTGTAAGGCAGAGACTTAGCTTATCCACATAAAACGTCACTTGGATAGTGCCCTAGCTTTCCTCTGATCGACAAAGCTGCATGGATTGTGGATGTCAGTTCAAAGGTGAGCAGACAACATCCTGTTTTGAAAGCTACCACTATTATTAAAGAAGGTAAAAACAAATCAGTGAGTCGGCTGAATTGCTTGCTGTCTGTTCCTAGCAGTGAAGGAAGAGTTGACCAATATTAAAAGTCCTTGTGTTTGGCTTTTTAATGATGCATGGATGGATAGTTGCTAATGGCCTGGAAGGGCAATGGAGAACTGGCCTACAAAAGGTTTGCTCCTATGGAAAGCAGTATGGGAATCTGAGGGGTGTATTAGAGTAGGAAATATCACTGCTCATCAGAAGAACCTCTTTCAGCATTAGAAGGCTATTGGAACCAACAAGCAGATAGCACAGTGTTCTTGCTTAGGGTGGCCACACATGTCCATGAAATGAATGGATATGGGATAACTGCAGCAATGAAGAGAGGGATACAAATCTGGGCTATGAGGGAACTTTAAAAAATTGGTGGCAAATGGAATGAAAAGATAAGTTTAGGGGAAGGTGTTTGGTGCAATGGCTGAGACACCTACATCCCATATTGGACTGCAGGGATTCAAGTACTGGCTCCAGGTTCTTGTTAATGCATACCCTGGGAGGTACCAGGTGATGGCTTGAGTGTTGAGTCCCTGCTACCTATGGTATTGATTTCTGGGCTCTTGGCTTTGGCCTGGCCTAGTCTTGGCTCTTGTGGGCATTAGGGGAGTGAACTTGTGGATGGAAGATCTCCCTGTGTCTGTTTCTATCTCTCTGCTTTTCAAATAAATAAAAAGAAACACTTAAAATATTTTTCAAAGGTAAATTTATTTTGGTGCAAAAATTTTTGAGATCCATGCGTATTAGGGGCCTTCAAAAAGTTCATGAAAAAATGTATATTATGAAAAAATGCACAAAGGTTTCAAAAATATTTTTAAAAGATTTATTTACTTATTTGAAAGGCAGAGTTACAGAGAGGCAGAGTCAGAGAGAGAGAGAGACAGAGACAGAGAGACAGAGAGACATCTTCCATCTGCTGGCTTATCCCCAAGTGGCTGTAACGGCCAGAGCTGGGCTGATCTGAACGAAGCCAGGAGTCAGTAGCTTCTTCCAGGTTTCCCACATGGGTGCAGGGACCCAAGCATTTGGGCCATCTTCTACTGCTTTCCCGGGCCATCAGCAGGGAGCTGGATCAGAAGAGGAGCAGCTAAACTTGAACTGGCATCCCTATAGGGTGCCGACACTACAGGCAGTAGCTTTACCTGCTATGCCACAGTGCCAGTCCCTCAAAAATATTTTGCACCAAAAGGAACTCATCTTTGAATTCCATTTTCTATGCACTTTCTGAAGTGCCCTGCTAAAGTCAGCCCTCTGTGTCTTCAAGCTCTGCCTCTGCATATTCAACCAGCTGTGGTTTAAAAGTATTTGACAAAAAGGCTCTGTGTAAACTAAATATGTGCAGGCCTTTTTGTTGTCATTGTTTCCTAAATGACACAGCACAACAGCTCTTTACAGAGCATTTACATTGTATTAGTTATTATAAGTAAGCTGGGGGTGATGTAAAGCATATGGGAGGATTCACGTGGGTCCTATGCAAGTTCTATGTCATTTTATCTAAGGAACTTGAGCGTTTTGTGGACTTTGGTATTTGTGGAGGGTTCTGAAGCCAATCTCCTGTGGGACAAGTGCCTTGTTTTACACCCCCTGAAGCACAAAGTGCCAATAATAGCTGTTGTGTTTGCCAGCAAAAGAGACAGCGACAGCAGATGGCTAGTTGGCAGATTTCCCAATGGGAAGGCCTTACGGCAGCCAAGTGAGGCTGTTGCTTATAGCCCTTGGGGCTACAAATGGGTCCGGACAGGCATAGAGACTGAGTAGAGCCTAGGCTTTGCTTACCCCCTGGTAGTTGCAAATACTCAGAGTGCTATAAAGGAAGTTGAACAGGAGATATTGGTACCAGTTTGGACCATGGAGGCCCATTTCTTCAGGCCAAGAAACACACTTCATCCTCAGAGACCTGGAACAGGCAGTGGACACACTGATTGTTTAAAGGGGCAGCAGGAAGACACATAGGCATGAAGGACTGGCTTACACGTCTTTATGAGTGTGTGCTCACACTCAACACGAGGGGGATGAAGTAGCCCCACCAATTACATTCTGTTTTGCTGATGGCTCTGGGGACGAGGGCGTGGAGGGAGAAGCTGGTATGACTGTGCAGTTCTTTCCCAAGTGGGAGGTTGCTGATGTGATGGCTGTACTTGTTTCTTTCTTCCCCACATCACCTCAACTTTATTTTTTTCCTACCCGATATGGTGGTTGCAGGACCTCGGCTGCAACTGCAAATGCCTGAAGCAGGGATGAATCCTAAGCAACTATGTTTTAAAAACTTGAATCCCTGGAGCTTGCCAGGGTGGGTCCTGCTTTCACCTCATGTGGCAAAGCTGGGGCTCACAGTGAATGTAGCCATGTTTTGTCCTGGGAGAATAACCCACTAATTCTGCATCTTGTGATTTTTCTTACCCTGTCTGAATGACAGTGGACTTGGGGAGGTACTGGCTAGACTACTACTGCTGCCTGCAATCTAGACAATCTATATGGCCAAATCCAATGTCCTCTCTGAGGGTAGAAAAGATTAGGTAAGAGAAGGATAGTAAAAGAGTGAGTAGGAGCTGGCATTGTGTCTCAGCAGGTTAAGCTGCCGCCTGTGATGCCAACATCCCATATGGAGCCAGTTCATATCCCAGCAGCTCCACTTCCAATCCTGCTTCCTGCTGATGGCCCGGAAAAAGCAGCAGAAGCTGGACCAAGTGCTTGGGCCCTTGCACCCATGTGGAAGACCCAGGCTTTGGCCCTACCCAGTCCTGACTATTGGCTGCCATTTGGGGAGTGAACCAGCAGATGGAAGATTGTTTCTCTCTCTCTCTCTCTCTCTCTCTCTCTAATTCTGCCTTTCAGATAAGTAAATAAATCTTTTTTAAAAAGAGTGAATAAATGGATTATGTGATGAGGGAAACCCAATATTAAATTCATTCCTCAAAAGAGACCAGTACAAGAGATGATACTGTCTCTTAGTTCAATTATTCTACATGCCCAGAAGGTGAAGCTGTGTTTGCTGGGACAGCTCTTGCTTTCGGAACCTGACAAGATCAAATGGAATCCTGTAAACTGGAGTAGCCTCATACTGAGTGACATTTTCCTATGAAACGATGATGGACTAGAATAATTATCAATGACTTAACAAGACTCTAATAATGTGTCTTTCAACTTCTATGATTCTTTTGCTATAAGGGTTCTGTGGTCAAAGGGCAAGGGTGGTCGATGGTATAATGTAGTTGTCCATCTTTTTCTTAATCATATTTTATATTCTGGATTTTAATTCCTTGTCATTATATGCGTGGAAAGTATCTTCTTCCAGCCTGTGGCTTTTCTTTTCCCTTTCTGTGGTGTGCTTTGATGAATAGATTTTGTATTGTTTGAATAATTTATACAGGAAACTATTTCATGCTTAGAGAAAAGTTGTTAGTAAAAAAGTATCTTTTTTTCTGAATTATTTTAAAGTAAGTTGCTGGCTTGATGTCACATCATCCCTGAATACTTTGAAGACCTACTGCATAACCACAGGACAACCAGCAAAAATAAGAAATGCACACAACTACCATCTAACCCCTTACCCCATTCGCATTTCACCTGTTGTCCCAATAGTGTTCATCATCACAAAATATCCAATTTGGGATTACATTTGGCACTTAGTTGTCAATATTTTAGTGTTCTTAGGTCAGGAAGAGCTCCTGACCTTTTGAGGGTTTCAAGGCAGTTACTTTGTAGACTGTCCCTCACTGTGGATGTGTCTCATGGGTCCTCATGATCGGACTCAGGAGTCTTTGTCAGTCATGTCCCAGAGGCGATGCTGTGTCCTGGGTGGCTGGTGACAGCAGTTTGTTCTGCCCCCAGTGGTATTCGCCAGGATCACTGGATGAAAGTGAGTCTGCCAGGCTTCTCCACCACAGAGTTCCTCTCTTCCCCTTTGTAAGGAATAAGTAGTTTGTGGAAAGGCACTTTGAGGTCGTGTAAATACTCTCCTCATTAACATTTTAATGTATTAGTTTTTATATCAGCATGGATTCATGGTTCCCTATTTTATTCTGTGAGTTATAACGTTACTGTTATTAATTTATCATTGAAATCACACTATTTTTATTATATGAAATAGGATATAGATGAAGAATGAAGTAATACTACAGGAAAACAGTGAATCTGAATAGTCATACAAATAATTTTATAGGGGCCAACATTGTAGCCCAGGGGGGTTAAGCCACAGCTTGTGATGCCAACGTCCCATATTAGAGTGCCTGTTTCAGTCTTGGCTGCTCCAGCAGTCTAGCTTCCTGCTAATGCACCTGGGAAACCGTGGATGATGGCCCAAGTACTTGGGTCCTTGCTATCCATGTGGGAAACCAGGATGGAGTTCCTAGCTCCTGGCTTTGGACTGGCCCAGACTTGGCTGTTGTTGCCATTCGGAGAGTGAACTAGTGAATGGAAGAGCTCTCTCTCTCTCTAACTCTGACTTTCATATAAATAAATAAATCTTTAAAAAAAGATTATATGGGGTCTGGTGTTGTAGGGTAGTGGTTAACACCACTGCCTGTGATTTCAACATCCCGTATGGGTGCTGGTTTGGGTCCCAGTTGCTCCATTTCTTTTTTTTTTTTTTAAGATTTATTTATTTATTTAAAAGAGTTACACAGAGAGTGGAGAGGCAGAGAGAGAAAGAGAGAGAGGTCTTCCGTCCGATAGTTCACTCCCCAGATGGCCACAACGGCTGGAGCTGCGCCGATCTGAAGCCAGGAGCCAGGAGCCAGGAGCTTCCTCTGGGTCTCCCATGCAGGTGCAGGAGCCTAAGGACTTGGGCCATCTTCTACTGCTTTCCCAGGCCATAGCAAAGAGCTGGATTGGAAGTGGAGCAGCCGGGACTAGAACCGGCGCCCATATGGGATGCCGGCGCTTCAGGACAGGGCGTTAACCAGCTGCGCACAGCACTGGCCCCAGTTGCTCCATTTCTAATCCAGTTCTCTGCTAATGGCCTGCAAAAAGCAGTGGAAAATGACCCAAGTGTTGGCCCTTTCCATCCATGTAGAAGACCTGGATGAAGCTCCTGGCTCCAGGCTTTGGCCTGGCCCAATGATGGCCATTTTGGCTATCTGGGAAGAGAACCAGAAGTTGGAAGATTTTCTCTCTCTCTCTCTTTCTCTCTCTCTCTCTTTCTCTCTTTCTCTCCCTCTCTCTCTCTTTCTCTCTCTCTCTCTCTGTAATTCTGACTTTCAAAATAAATACATGAATAAATAAATAAATATTCTAAAAAGATTATATGTAAGTTAACTTTCCCCAGAGCATGATAAATGAAATTCTCATGAGTTAAATATCCATTCCTAATGCAATAGTATTAGCATGTGAGGCCTAATGTGAGGTCACGAAGGCTCACCCTTCATGAATAGATTAATACTACTAATGAAAAGGTCTTGCTCTACTGCCATGTGGAGGCACAGTGTTCTTCCTCTCAGAATGCAGCAATGATGCATCATCTGAGAACCAGAGACTTAACCTGCTGGTGTCTTGATCTTGGACTCCCCAGCCTCCAGAACTGTGAGAGAGTAAATTTCTATTTTTCAAAAATCATATGGTCTCAGGTATTCTGTTACAGCAGTACAAAATGGACTAAGACAATATAATCATGTTATTTTTCCTTATCCTCTTAATGTGGATTACATGGATTGCTTTTTGAACTGGTCTCATATCCATAGGAAAAAAAAAACCCACTTGGTCATGATGTATAATGCACATTGCTCAATTCTTTTGTCATTGTTACATGTTTTAATCAAATGTATCTATACACATATCACAGAAGAGCCAAATTCTCAATAAATAGAGAATATTACATTTCTATAACATTAAGAAGGATTGTAGGAAGACTCAGAGTCAAGGCATGGGGGATAATTTTTTTGTTGTTGTTGCATTGTTTTTAGTGTTCCCCAAACTTTTATGGCTGGATTTCTAGACTATTAGTCAGCTTTTTGTTACTACAATAAATACCCGAGAGGAGCTCCTTAGGAAGAGGGTTTATTATGTCTTACAGTTTTAGAGATTCACAGTCCCCAATCCAGTGGCCCCATTGATCTAGCATCTGATGAGGGCAGTGGATGGTGAATTTTTGCAGAGGAAGGATAACATGATGAACCAGGAAGGAGAGAGAACATTCAAATAACCCTCTCTTGAGAACTACCTTCTGAGGGCAAGTCCTCAGTAACCTAAATACCTACCTTTAGGCCCAACTCCCAGACAACACAATTGGATCAAGTTTCCACCTTTAATTCATCAACCATTACAGTTGTCTATTACCATTAAAAAAAGGCTTTAGGGTTTAAATGCATGAGTTGGGGAGCCAAATCATATTCAATTATAGCACATTCCAATCTCTATAATAGAGATTATACCTTCATGTATATTCTAAATGTGGAAAGTATATTAATCAATAATTTCAGAAATGAGATAGGAAGACAATGTATGGGTTAAAGATTTTCCAGAGGTTCTGTCAATTTTGAAGAGCTAGAGAGTTAGAGAGAAATCTTCTTAAAACATGGCCCTCTTCACTCTACTTCCTGAGCTAAGTCAGAAGAAATGTGGTGCTGTAGCAGCATGAGCATGGCCATGGGGTTAGGGACTGGGTGTATTTCCCACTCTGCCACTTCTACAGTGGTGACCCTGGCGGGTCACAACTGCTGATGAATACTTATTCCTTCATCACTGCTGAATAAACCGTTTCTATCAAGGCCAAATTTCATCTGCCTTGTGTTCTTCTCTTACCTAATATTTATAGAGTTTGAGATGAAATCCAGTGTAACAGGCAGATCCAAGGTAAATATTTGTCCAGACTCCCATTTACCAAGAAAGGAATCTTTTTTCTTTCTCTTCCTCTTGACTTGGGCAGCTTCCAGCATTCTTTCATCAAGAGGTGCAGAGATTTGCTGACGGCAGATTTGGCAGTCATTGCAGAACAAGCACAGAGGGCATGCAATGAATTTTGGAATTCCACAGCCAAGGCAGACTCTTCTAGGATGATGGAAATCTTTAAAAGTTAACACTTTGATGAGCTACTGCTGCATCTTGAATTCCCGTGCCAACGGAGATGCCTCATCTACCTATATTGCTCAATTCTCTCTCTCTCTCTCTCTCTCTCTCTCTCTCTCTCTTTCACAGACAGAGTGGACAGTGAGAGAGAGACAGAGAGAAAGGTTTTGCTTTGCCGTTGGTTCACCCTCCAATGGCTGCTGCGGCTGGCGCACTTCGGCCAGCGCACCGCGCTGATCCAATAACAGGAGCCAGGTACTTCTCCTGGTCTCCCATGGGGTGCAGGGCCCAAGCACTTGGGCCATCCTCCACTGCACTCCCTGGCCACAGCAGAGAGCTGGCCTGGAAGAGGGGCAACCGGGACAGAATCCGGCGCCCCGATCGACCGGGACTAGAACCCGGTGTGCCGGCGCTGCAAGGTGGAGGATTAGCCTAGTGAGCCGCGGCGCTGGCTACTCAATTCTGTTTCATAATGTTTTACTAAGAATTTTTGTCGCTGTATTCATAATGGATATTGGGCTACAGTTTTTGTTTTTACAAATTTTTATTTATTCATTTGAAATAGAGGCAGACAGGGAGAGAGAGACAGAGATCTTCCATCTGCTGGTTCACTCCCCAAAATGGCCACAGACAGCTGGAGCGGGGCTAGACTAAAGCCAGGAGCCTGGAACAACCTGGGTCTTCCGTATAGGTGGCAGGATCCCAAGTACTCGGACCAACACTTGCTGCCTTCCGGGACATGAGTTATCGGGAAACTGAAATTGGGAATGCGGTAAAGACTCAAACACAGGCACTCTGATATGGGATACAGGCATCCCAAGCAGCATCTTCACTGCTGTGCCAAATGCCAGCTCCATACACACTTTTTTTAAAAAGATTTATTTATTTATTTGAAAGAGAGAGGAGAGGCAGAGAGAGAGCGAGCGCCTGGAACTCCATCCAGGTCTCCTACATGGGTGCAGGGGCCCAAGCACTTGGACCTTCTTCCACTGCCTTCCCAGGCGCGTTAGCAAGGAGCTGGATGGGAAATGAAGCAGCAGGGACTCAAATGGGCATTCATTTGCGATGCCAGTGTCACCAGCAGGGGCTTAACCTACTTTAACACAATGCTGGCCCCTGTATAGTGGTTGTGTGTGTGTGTGTGTGTGTGTGTTTAAAATAGCTTTTTAAATGGTTGCTCTAGGTATTACATTATGTACACATCACTTACCACAGTCCACTGCTGTTGTCATTTTACCAGTTTGAGTGAAGTGTAGAAATCTTGCCTCCTTTTAATCCTGTTTGCTGTCCTCTGTTTATATTAATTATTTCATCTACATGCATGTCAAAGCACATCAAACAGTGTTATGATTTTGCTGTAGCTGCCAAACACAAGTTAGAACACTCAAGAGGAGAAGGAAGTTCTATTGTACTGACCCAGATTTTTGCTTTCTGTGTTCTTTGTTCCTATCTGGTGTTCCAAGATTCCATTTTTAATCACTCCTTTTCGGTTTAGGGAACTTACCTAGTCATTCTTTTAGTTTAGGTCTACTGTCCACATTTTTTTTTTTTTGGTTTTCTTTCATCTGAGAATGTCTTCATTTCTCCTTCCTTTCTAAATGATATTTTTGTTGGGTATAGGATTCTGCATTGAGTGGTTTTTCTTCTTTTATATTTATTTATTTGAAAGGCAGAGCAACAGAGAGAGAAGGACAGGGGGAGAAAGAGAAAGAGGGAGAGAGAGAGAGAGAGAGAGAGAGATCTCTTTCATCTGCTGGTTCATTCCCCAAATGCCCACAACAACTGGTGTTCCGCCAGGCTGATGCCAGAAGACAGGAACTCCATCTGGGTCTCCCACGTGGGTGGCAGGGACTCAAGCACTTAAGCCATCATCTATTGCTTCCTAGGCACATTAGCAGGGAGCAGAATCAGAAACAGAGTAACAGGAACTTGAGCTGGCACCCCAATATGGGATGCAGGTGGCTTAACCCAGTGTGCCACAATGCCTGCCCCTATACGCTTTCTTTTTCTTTTTATAGTAATCATATTAATGGATGTGAGATGACATCCCATTGTAGTTTGATTTGCATTTCTCTCATGATTAATGATGTTGACTACCCTTGCATGTGTTTATTGGCCATTTATATATCTCCTTTGGAGAAATGTTTATTGAAATCCTTTTTTTAATTGGGTTGTTTGCTTTTGTATGTGTTACTCTCAGGTTTTTTTTTTTTTAAGATTTATTTTATTTATTTGAAAGACAGAGCTGCAGAGAGAGAGAGAGAGGTCTTCCATCTGCTGGTTCACTCCCCAGATGCCTGCAACGGCCGGAGCTGTGCCGATCCAAAGCCAGGAGCCAGGAGCTTCTTCCGGGTCTCCCATGCAGCTGCAGGGGCACAAGGACTTGGGCCATCTTCTACTGCTTTCCCAGGCCATAGCAGAGAGCTGGATCAGAAGAGGAGCAGCCGGCACTAGAACCGGCGCCCATATGAGATGCCAGCGCTTCAGGCCAGGGCGTTAACCTGCTGTGCCACAGAGCCGGCCCCAAGTTTTTTTTATTT